ACCGTTATCCAGATGTAGTAGCTGCTCTCGGCGGAGGAACACCAGTGTAAATGCTTCATTAGGTGGTCTTCTCAGTGGGATTTTCAAAGGTGCTGATAACGGAGACTCGACTAGGCAACAGTACGCAGCAATCGTCGCCTCCGTTAATCGCTTGGAGACGGAGATTTCAGCTCTTTCTGATTCGGAATTGCGTGGGAGGACTGATGCGTTGAAGAAACGGGCTCAGCGAGGAGAATCCATGGATTCACTTCTCCCTGTAAAATTTCCCAATCCTTCGTCTCATTTTGTGGTTTTGACTTTTGACACCAATTTTTTTGCTTCAAATTTTGGAATTTGAAATTTCAGGAGGCATTTGCTGTTGTGAGAGAAGCTTCCAGGAGAGTTCTTGGACTCCGACCTTTCGATGTGCAACTGATAGGTAACACGATCTCTGTGGACTGTCAATTTGAAGATTGTTGAAGTTAATGTAAATCTCGATGTGGTTTGATTGCAGGTGGTATGGTCCTTCATAAAGGAGAAATTGCAGAAATGAGAACTGGTGAAGGAAAAACGCTTGTGGCCATTTTACCAGCTTACTTGAATGCATTAAGTGGTAAAGGTGTTCATGTGGTTACAGTCAATGATTATTTGGCTCGAAGAGATTGTGAATGGGTTGGTCAAGTTCCTCGGTTCCTTGGATTGAAGGTTGGTCTAATCCAACGTATGTCTCTTTCTCCGAACTCCTTGTTTTTATCTCTCTTTTCTTTTTTCGTCTCTTTATAGGTAAAAACTAAAACTTTGTTACTTTGGCAGAGAATATGACACCTGAACAAAGGAAGGAGAACTACTTATGCGACATCACATATGTAACCAACAGTGAGCTTGGATTCGACTATCTGAGAGACAATCTTGCCACGGAAAGTAATTCTTGCTTTATTTTCTCCTTTCAGTCTGGATTATATGAATTTTCTGCTGGATTTCCTTGCTGAGTTTAGTTACTGAATGTACAGAGTGTGGAGGAGCTCGTCTTGAGGGATTTCAACTATTGTGTAATTGATGAGGTTGATTCCATACTAATTGATGAAGCAAGGACTCCTCTCATTATCTCTGGACCTGCAGAGAAACCTAGTGACCAGTATTACAAAGCTGCAAAGATTGCTTCAGCCTTTGAGCGGGATATACATTACACTGTAAGACTCCTCAGTTATGCCTTTTTTTCTGTGATAGGAGTAATATTTAGCGGATTGGCCATCCATCTGCAAATTCTAACTGCTCACTGAGGTTTTTTGGTGTTGCAGGTTGATGAAAAGCAGAAGACCGTTTTACTAACGGAACAGGGTTATGAGGATGCAGAAGAAATACTGAACGTGAAAGATTTGTATGATCCTCGTGAACAATGGGCGTCATATGTTCTGAATGCCATTAAGGCGAAAGAACTTTTCCTCAGAGATGTGAATTATATTATCCGAGCAAAGGAGGTCCTTATCGTGGATGAGTTTACTGGTCGTGTGATGCAGGTACTTGTTTATATCGTTTGCTTATTGTTATTGAATACTCATCATCTTAATAAGAAATCACTATTCATCATTTCAGTGCTAGTAACAGGCTACAAGAAAAACAGAGAGAAAAAAACAGTATGCTGTAACCCACTGAATAAGTTGTCTCGTTTGCAGGGGAGACGTTGGAGTGACGGACTGCATCAAGCAGTTGAAGCAAAAGAAGGCTTGCCAATTCAGAATGAATCTATTACACTGGCATCAATTAGTTATCAGAATTTCTTTCTGCAGGTTGGTTATGCCTACTCTCCACTTTTTGAATAAAGTTACTTCGAGATTGTAATGCTTAATTTTCTGCTATGGTGTAGTTCCCAAAACTTTGCGGGATGACTGGTACAGCATCAACCGAGAGTGCAGAATTTGAGAGCATATACAAGCTGAAAGTTACAATTGTACCCACAAATAAACCCATGATAAGAAAGGTTTGTCTCTTATCTTATCTTTTAAACTTACTCCTCAAAATTTAGACGGGTAGTTTTTTGGAATTCGCCTTCTAATGAGGTCTGTTAAAGTGAGAAAATGTTAAGCGTCCATGCTATACTCTGCTAGGAAGCACTTGTATGCTGTAGATTACAATTTTGGTGTTTTGTTTCGAACAAATACGTTTCTCTTTCCCAGTCTAATACCTTGTTAAATCACTTGCAGGATGATTCAGATGTGGTTTTCAAGGCAGTCAATGGAAAATGGCGAGCAGTAGTGGTGGAGATTGCTAGAATGCACAAGACAGGTAGAGCTGTGCTAGTTGGTACAACCAGCGTTGAGCAGAGTGATGAGCTATCTCAACTATTGCAGGAAGCTGGAATACCTCATGAGGTAAGGCTTTCAAGTAATTTTGGTAACACAAATATCTTATACATGTATCAATGCAGAAATATATCCAAAATCTTCGACACTGACAGATGATTTAATATATTGCTGCACAAACAGGTCCTTAATGCAAAACCAGAAAATGTGGAGAGAGAAGCTGAAATTGTAGCACAAAGTGGCCGTTTAGGGGCAGTAACAATTGCCACAAATATGGCTGGGCGTGGGACAGACATTATTCTTGGTGGAAATGCAGAGTTTATGGCACGTTTGAAGCTCCGCGAGATACTTATGCCAAGGTATAATGCATGTAGCGTTTTATGATGTAATTATGAATAATAGTAGTGTTTCTTATTACCTGAAGTTTTTGTTACGTTTTGAATGTTACCACAGAGTGGTAAAGCCTACTGATGGTGTTTTTGTATCTGTGAAGAAGGCCCCTCCCAAAAGGACGTGGAAGGTTTGGTCTTTTCTGAGTCTCTAGTTTTGGTTGTAAGCATGAGGTTGTAATGGTTACACAAAGCTAAGTCGCCAGAAAATCTTCTGATGCAGGTGAATGAGAAGTTGTTTCCATGCAAATTGTCAAATGAGAGAGTAAAGCTAGCTGAGGAAGCTGTACAATCAGCTGTAGAGGCTTGGGGCCCAAAATCTTTAACTGAGCTTGAAGCAGAGGAGCGTCTATCTTACTCTTCTGAAAAGGTGAACAACAGAGAAATCCTGGAACTCTATGTTGATATGTTCAACTATAGAGCTATCTGAGTCATTGGTGTTTGCTCTTTTCCTCAGGGTCCTGTTCAGGATGAAGTCATTGGTAAACTGAGGAAGGCATTTCTTGAGATAGCGAAAGAATATAAGGGCTATACGGATGAAGAAAGGAAAAAGGTCGGTTGTGTTACAGCAAGAGCAGTATTGTGAATCTCTGTAAAGTGTCTGTTGTTAATGTTTTACTGTTCTGAATTGCTGCAGGTTGTAGAAGCTGGTGGACTCCACGTGGTGGGGACAGAGCGGCACGAGTCACGCCGGATAGACAATCAGGTTTCCTTCAATTGTTTGCTTCCGTGAGAAGTCCCTTCTCCAGTGAAATACTTATTCATGAATTTGTTTTGTTTCCCTCATACAGTTGCGTGGGCGAAGTGGCCGGCAAGGTGATCCTGGAAGTTCCCGGTTCTTCCTCAGTCTTGAAGATAACATATTCCGCATTTTCGGGGGAGATCGGATTCAGGTGACTATTTGTATCTTCAATTCCCTCATTCTTCTAGAGAATATTCGTCTAAACGTAGTTGCCATTTAACTCTTAGGGTATGATGAGAGCATTCAGAGTGGAAGACTTACCGATCGAATCCAAGATGCTTACTAAAGCTCTAGATGAAGCTCAGAGAAAAGTCGAGAATTACTTCTTTGACATCAGAAAGCAGTTATTCGAATTTGACGAGGTTCTCAACAGCCAAAGAGATCGTGTTTACACAGAGAGAAGGCGTGCTCTTGTGTCAGGCAGCCTCGAGCCTCTGATCATCGAGTATGCTGAATTGACAATGGATGACATTCTAGAGGTAAGCTGTTTAAAATTGATGCCAGTTAAACAAACGAGTATATTTTATACCACCAGTTGAAACTCTGTTTTACCATGAATAGGCGAATATTGGTCCGGATACTCCAAAAGAAAGCTGGGATCTTGAAAAGCTCATTGCGAAAGTTCAGCAGTAAGAATTATATATCTCTAAGAGAACGTTCCACATAGATAATCACAACTTCCATTTGTCTAAGCTCTTAAAACTTCCAAATTCCATTCTCTTAGGTACTGTTATCTGTTGAACGATCTCACTCCGGATTTGCTGAAAAGCCAAGGATCAAGTTATGAGGGACTGCAAGATTATCTGCGTGCCCGTGGCCGTGATGCATACTTGCAGAAAAGAGTAAGTTAGATGGTTTCTGAGCCTTTTTCACATTTTTATAAGAGATAACAGAAGCTGTGGTGTTTTTGGTTGATTAAGCTTGTTTTTGATTCATTAGGAAATCGTGGAGAAAGAAGCACCAGGGCTAATGAAAGATGCTGAACGATTCTTAATCCTAAGTAACATCGACCGGTTATGGAAAGAACACCTTCAAGCGCTCAAGTTCGTGCAACAAGCTGTTGGCCTGAGAGGATATGCGCAACGTGACCCACTCATCGAGTATAAGCTGGAAGGATACAATCTATTTCTGGAAATGATGGCTCAAATACGAAGAAACGTTATTTACTCCATATATCAGGTTCTTGATTCATTCCAAATCTCTACTTCACACACATACATACATACATTCATTCATCACTCATTCACCTTTTGATTCTTTCTTTCTCCTTATTATGGCAGTTTCAACCAGTGATGGTAAAGAAGGACCAAGAGAAGAAGTCACAGAACGGCAAACCGAGAAAACAAGCGGATAATGTTAGTGAGAAACCTGAACAAGTCGGTGTCGCAGATGAGCAATCCTCATCAATTGCCAGTGCCTAAGAGCGGTAAACAGCAAATCTTTTTGGGTGAATTCGTCTTTAGAAAAAGAGCTTACTCGTACTCGATACATTTGTTGTCAGTCTCATTTATCTGTATATACTACTACACTGGCAAAGGATCATAAACAAAACAAGATCAAAGAAACTCTCTTCTTCTTCTCGTTACAGCATCAAGAAGAATCTCTTGGAAGGATCTGTTGGAGTATTAGGTTGAGATCGTTTCCTCTAGCCTTGACACCAATGGCTAGAGCCGTCTTGAGCTTAACCAACTCTCCCAATCTGAGTGAGGCTCGTTTGTTGTCTCTGATAAAGAGAACCGGAACGTTCCTTGAAGCAGCTAAGTTTGGTATGTGCTTCGTTAGCATCCTCGGTCTACAGTCTGCTACTACTATCACTACCTATGATGAAAAACAAAACGAAAAATCTCTCAGGTCACTAAAGGCCTTTCCTACATAGAACCCAAATTTGTATGAGACTGTACCTGAAGTAGAACCGGAGGTTGCCTGAGGTCAGTGTTTGGTTTCATTCGCTCAAGTACACGCGTGACTTCGTTGATCCCAACAGCGAATTGTTGCTGATTTTTCACATTGTTCACCAATAGAAAGAAAAAAACACGATGATACTGATAATCAAATGGTGGTAATCGAACAAAAAAGCATAAAAAGAGTGAGTAGTAGTAAACCTTAAGCCATATCTTCTCAGGCAATGAGTTCACATTCGAAACCTTGGACGTCTCGATTCCTCTAATTTCCGAACACACCAACAATAAGGAAAAAAAGAGAACTTTTAACAAAAATTGATATGTACATAGGAAGATTATTGATGGGTTTTTTAGGGTTTAAGAGTGTTACCTTTGAATCAAGCCGATAAGATGAGTTAGACGTTCGCCTTCATAGTAACTACAATACAAACCAGAGAAGTCGAAATCCTCAGAAACAGAAACAGAGCAGAGTTTGAATTGAAATTTTGTATCTTATATAAGAGAAATGAAGAAGTAGATTACTCTGATTCTTTGACGGAATTCGAATCAGCTTCTTCTATCTTCTTCTGAGGGTTTATCGTTTTGACGCCTCTCATCGGTGGTTTACTCGTTACGCCCACCAACTGTTCGATAGAAATACACACACTGTGAAACTTTTTGGATTTTTTGTAAAGGTCTTTTTCGTAATTAGCCAAACACCTTTTTCCATCTCATTGATATATACATATACTTTGAATATAAAGGTTGAACAAGAGGAGGCAAAAGTTTAATAATCAGATCTTAAATATTTCTCAGAGACTGAGAACAACATCAACAGTATAAATTAATCAACAACACCACAAAAAAAGAAAAACAATTTATCTTGGTGATGCTTCACTTCCATCTTGCTTAATCACAGAACACAAAACCTGTCTTGAAATATAACTCTCGAGCTCTCTAGAGACTTCCGTTAGCTTCAAGTCAAAGTTACTCCTGTACTTCTGCTTCGGCGATGGCACAGTGAAAGAAGAAGAAGAAGAGCCTGAGAACCTTCTTCTTGGGCTAGAGAATCTCCCTGGTGAAACCTGAAGCTTCACTGCTGCAGATGTTGATGGCGTCATCAACACACTCCTATTATTCTCTTGGTCTAGCATAAGTCCGAATTTCGTCTCTAATGGAAGTGGCTTAATCGAATCTTCTTCGGAAACCGGTTTCGCTTTCCTCAGTCTTTCCTTTGCTTTCTCAGCTGCTTGTAGAGCCTTTTCACTGCTTAGAGTTATCAGCTTCCATGGGTTTATGCTTACATGCAAACCAGGTTTCTTGTTGATCACTGCAACTCCATCACCTCCTTCAATCTTTATGGATAGTCTCTGCTGATTCTGTTTAATAACATAAATATTAATCTTTTGAGAGAAAGTGGCAACAAGAGAAGGAAAAAGCTTTCTTTTTTCTTTTCTTTCTCACCTCATTTGATTTCCTGCACATAAACTTGGAGATGAACGTTTGTCTTGGTCTTTCAGGCGAGTCAAAATCAGAGCTTTCATCTGAAGATGAGTCTAATTCATCAAAAGGATCAGCTTCTGTAATTTGATTCTCTTCCCTCATTGCTAATATGTAGTCATATGTTCTCATCCCCTGCAAGTAATTTGAGCACTAGCTTGTCAGATACAGAGTAATTCTGCAACCTTTCATGGCTTGGAGAGAGTAAGAATTACCTTTCTAATGAGAACCACATGGAAGATGAAAAGCTGTCCCATTGCAGCCGAGCCATATGCAGTCAACAAAAACAACATAACCTTCACAAGATCACAAAAACAGCACAAACTTCATAAGTGAAAAGAAGCTGTATCAGATTTCATGAAAAATGAAGCATAATGTAAAGAGAAGTTATACAGATATTGTAGCAAGAGCCCATCTAGGGAACTCTACGTAAAGCCTTCTCTTCAATTCGGTTTCCATTCCTTTCTTGTCTACAAAACATCTGACGAATACGGCAATGGCTGTTCCACCTTCTATAATCAGCTGTTGCAACAAAAAGCCAATAAAATTTCTCATCATTTCATTGAACCAGAAGCTTCCAGGTTCCTGTTTAAGTAGTTGAGAGTAGGGAGCAAATACACACCATGAGCAAGACGAACACCATCAGGAGTATGAACGTAGTGTAATTCCTTTTCCCAACGCAGTTATTGAGCCACTGAATAGATTCCAAGACAAAAACATCAGTTTCAGAAACTCTAAACGATTCAGTGAGAGAAGAAATAAAAAAAACTTACCCTGCAATGGTGATCAAACCCTTCAACACACCGGTTACATGTCCTGCAATGCTTACTGCTGCGTTTGACCTAAATTAAAAACACAAAGAAATGTCTAAATAAAGAAGTCCAAGTTTTTCATTTTCATAAAGTTAAATCACAAAAAAAAAGGCAAACCTCTAAATCACAAAGTGAGCAATAAGAGAGATCATCTTCTTCCTCTTTAGGGTCTGGTGTAACGGAATCATCATCATTCATGACAAGTGGAAACGGAAGAAGAGGTTCAAGCTGCACGCTGCTCTTCCATGGATCCAAATACGTCCGTCTGATGAAATTCCTCAAGATCTTCCTCTCTAACCTCCTGAAAAAACTCACGAGAACTTGACTCAAAACGACCTTGAATCTCAGCTTCATCAAGACTCCTTTGGATTTAGACCTTCTCTTCTTCCTAGCACTAGTTTTATCCGTGGGGTCAATCGCAGTGCACCGAACGAATAAAACTATAACTGACACCGCCTGAAAGTAAAAATAAACCTCAAAAAACTCAGCCTTGAAGACTCTATATCAAGAACAGAAGGGCAACTTCTTGATCATACTTACCACGAAAGAGAAGACCGAAAGAAGCGTGATGATAGCTATTCGATTCCCAAGGAATAGGCCGAGGAATATGTAGAAGGTTGCAACCAGAATGCTATAAATAACAGCTCCTACAATCTGCAAAAAGCAGTGCACAGCTCAAATTTAGTTATCAAACTCAAAATTGAATAGAATCTGCTTCAGAGAGCTCATCAGTGATAAACGATTCAATCAAATTCAAGATCTTTTCAAGGAGAGAGCTATAGTTTTGCCCAATCACACAGCTCAATCTAGCTAAGCAGTAAAATTTAGAAACAATCTACAATTTTAGAAAGTTGCAGATCAAACACTGATTCAGCTCACTAAACATAGAAATCGATAGGTTAGCTCAAAATTGAGAGATTCACACTACGTAGAAACAGTGTAAGTTCGCTTTCAGTGGATCGCATTAAGATGAAATTGAAGCCAAAACCAGGAGATTTTTCAGATAAATTAAGAAATTTCTCAGCAAATAAAACTGAAAGAATGTGAAGAAATTGAATTGAGACCTGTAATGGATGAAATGGTCGTTGCCAGCCATGGCGTCGTCTCGTCATGGTAACTCCGTCGTCGTCGTCGTCGGAGGTTTTAAATTTGCAGATCTTCACGGAAGAAGCCCTATTCTCTAATAGATCTTACTCGAAAAATAAAAACTTGATGAGGCCATTGGCAACTTTCTCAGCTTCGAAAATGACAGAGATGGAGACAAATAAAATTTGGGTTTATATTCTCAGTATTATTAATTAATAATGTCCGCTTAATTTCTTTGTGTTGCTTTTTTTGTTTTTAGTTGAGGGAAGAGATGATATGATACCAACGGTCGGGTTTTCAAAATTTGAAGTAACGCTCGGAATCGGATCTGCTTTACTCATCCGACGGCTGTTGATAGTTTGAGCCTTTCACGTGACTCTCTCAAATTGGGCCCATTTATATTCTGAAACACTATTGGGCCTAAGTCAGCCCTCTCTCTCTTCATTTGTGGGCCTTTTCTAGTAATTTTGTGAAAGAGTGAGAGTGAGAGCGAGAGGAAAAACGACAAACGCATCCATCATATATGAAGATCATCCAAAATCGAATCCGGTCAAAAACCTACAAGATCTCTCTATATCATTCATATGTTTTACTTATATAATATACAACACTCACCAGGAAACTAAAGAATACGCGCATATGTGTTTTTATTTTATATATACACAGATTTTTACTGTATATATGTGTGTGTAATGACGTATATAGAAGAAGATAACACATAATGGGACACATAATTCTACTAAAATACAAATTTAGTTGGTGGAGAAAGTGGTGCACGACTGTTGAAGATCTCCGTTACTACTCCCTCCACTTTTACTATCAACCTTGTTATTACTATTATTATCGTTATTGTCGTTACCTCCTCCGATAATGTTTGATATCGCCGCCGCAAGAGCCGCCGTGAAATTGGGATCCATCGCAATCGCAGCTCTAACAGAATCGACCATGTCACGTGGTGGTGCTTGTGGGGCCAACAAGTTAGGTAATAACAAGTGCGGGTTGTTATTATTACTAGAGCTCATTGACCTAATTTGATTAGCGTTTGGTAAAAACGCGGTGGGACCGTACTGGCTCAGAAACTGCGGCTGGGGCTGTAGCGGTCGAGGAGGGTTGGTGAGGTCTAGAGTTATGGTTGGGAAAGGAGCGGAGGCGGAGAGTGTGGCGATTGTGGAAGTGTATGGGAAGTTATGGTAGAAGGAAGATGATGACGTGGCGGAGGGGGTAGAGAGAGTTTGGTGAAGGTTGCTGGTTGTGGAACCTGATAAGAGCATGGCGGCTGCGGCGGAGGTGGTTGCGGCCATGGCGGTTGCTGACGGTGGAAGAGGATGGTTATGGTTTCCTTCGTATGTTGTGGTCAAGATAGTTGTATCCTCGGCACATCGTTGGACCTATATGAATTCAAATATACAAATAAGCATTTAGAATTTATACCATTTTGTTACATTAATTAATACTTAACTATAACATCAAACGTACAGTTTTGAGAAATAACATCAAAAACGTTTAGTTTATATCATAGCTACGATTTGTTGCTAACCTGTTTACGGACAGGACATCCAACGGACATGGTGCAACGATAGTAAGCGCGAGGACATGGATTGCCTTTCGCCATCTTTTGCCCGTATTTTCTCCATTGACATCCGTCATTTACCTATCCAATACCAAAAGAAAACTTGATTCGTTTTTTTTCTTCAAAAAATGATGCAAACAAAAAGTTAGTAACGTAGAATATAGAAAGTTACCGTGGTGGCATCGGATCTAGCTCTAACGGAAACCCTAGCTTTTCTAAAAGGTAACGTCTGGTCATGAGAGTTTTGTTGTTCTTCATGATTAGTACTTTTGTTTTGGTCTAATCTTGGAGTTTTTGGTGAACTTCGGTGCTGATCATGATCATCCACGTCGTCTGGAGACCGTCGTTTCAAGGTGTTGGCCGGGATTTCATTGTTCATATCCGTTGGCCTTCTGTACTCTAGAACAGCTTGAGGTATATCCTTTTTTACCAAACAAAAAATGAATTAGTTTCTTAGGGGGGAACAAATATGATTTGGAGATTATATTCACCAAAAATTATAGCTTATTGTTGTTCATTCTAGTTTCAACTTGTAGTTCCGATCGAAGCAAAGACAACATGCATATATATATGCACAATTGATAACCTACCACATATGTGCATATAATATACACATATACCCACAGTGGTAAAAAATATGAAAAATCAACCGAATGCTATAATTAATGAATATATGTACAGGAACGTAGAGCAAGAAAAACTATGATAACGTACCTAACTATAAATATGTAAGTTCTCGTTCTAGTTTCTAAAATAATTAATGGTTTTATAGTTTTAAATATCTCAGAAACTCTAAAACTTAGTTCCCCATTAAATCTTAATTGTAAGAAACAAATTTCTGTCTTAAAAATCCAATAGATGACCAAAAAAAAGGATCACCAAGGTTTTTTATGTTGGAAGTCGGATAATCAAATCCCTATGCAACTATAATACCAGAAAGTAATTTTGATATTTACTTAGAAGAAAAATAGCATAACTTATTTAGTAATAACTCGAATAATTATGACTATTTTTATCATTTGATCAATCAAGTACCTCGTGTTGTTTATGAAGACCTTCCACTTGTGCCTGTCTCGCCAACAAAACTCTACTTTGGAGGTCGTTGTAACTCTCACTTATCTCATCTAATAAATGCTTCAGCTTGTGATTCTCCTCGTGAAGCCTCTCTAGCTCCAATTTCAGCCTTCTAATCTGCAAGTTATTTTTAAATTAAAAACTTGACAATGAAAACATAAATAAAAAAATGTATGAATCCACAAAATTATACAATTTTCATATGGACTTTTAAACTACGAACAAAAAAGAATAAGAAGGTGAATTTAGATAAACTCACACGATCACAAGTGTGTATACAACAATGTTTACTTTCTGATTATTTTGCTTTTAGTTAGTTTGTAAATTTATTTTCTAACTAACTTAATTAGTCATATATAATACGAATCCTGAAATTCTATAGATGATCCTTGATGGTCAAAAATACTTACTTGAGGTTTGTTTTTGTCATTGCTATCATCATCATCATCATCTGTGATAATTCTTGATGTTCCAAGACATGAATTTACCAAAACTAATTCGTCCTAATATGCCATGATTTATACGTAATTAATAACGTTCACAAATTTTTTGATCCTTAATTATATTTACAAATATCTATAATCTGAAGCCTTACGTTAAATCCGGAAGTATCAACGATCGTTCTCACATGGCCAAGATCGTACGGGTTACTTTTGGCGGCGAAGAAATCAACTTCTTTGATAGACGGTTTGTGATGATGTTCCACCGGAGACTCGCTCGGCTGATGATCCTTTGGTGTGGAATCTCTCTGGAGAAACTCGCCGGAGTGCAAGAATGCAATTTCACGGCGATCTTGAGCATGCTCATCCATTTGCAGACAAAGAGATAGAGAGAGAGGCAGAGAGGAAAGAAGAAGAGAGTATATATAAAGACTAAAGTTATAAGGATAAGTTGTGTAAAGTCTTAGCTAAACTTTCTATTTTCAACGAGATATCACTCCTTTGTCAATGTTATTTATATACTTATTTAAAACATGACCAAGCAACAGTTAGGTCTTTGATTTTTTATTAGTTGATAGGTAATTTAGGGAATTGTCATAATGATCATGTAATTATGCGGAATTTCAATTTTTGTTTAAAACAAAAGTTTTTTATTTAATCGTCCGCAATATTTGCTCACAATTTTTTGATTTGGTAATAATATTATCAGTCAATTATTATTACGTTTATATTTCCCTTAAAACAAAACAAAAACCAGATTTCTGTTAAAATGTGACATGTTAAAAATTTATTCTTATATGACTATTTCTTTTAGCTTTAAATATAGGGAATTCATTTACAAGTAGGAAGATCTTTGGGAGGTTCTTAAATGTCAGATTTGATCTCAATATTGTATGTCTTTGTTGTTATTTTGTTTTCTTTCTAAATGAGCAGGAAACGGTGCACAATGTTAAATATAAGAAAATGCCTCGATCGAGTGGATTAATTCCTCGATATAGCGTCAGAAATGTACACGTGTCATAGGATAAAAGGGTAATAACAAAACAGTGACGTACTTAATAATACATTGGAGAGATAAGATAAACGTCGAGGCGTAGATTAATCGTAACAGTGACGGATTCCCGTTAAGTAGCCGTTAGGAGAAAGTTGACGACGTGAGACTCAGAAAAGGACGAGAAGCGTTGTCTTGAAGTCAACGGAGTTGACGGCACGGCATAACGGTGGCACTATCGGACGGTGAGGAAACGATAAAAGAGAGGTGGGGCCCATAAGAGGAAGAAAAAGTACCTAATCCCACTTGACCATTCATTGAAGCCGGAGCTAACTACCAAGTCTTAACCCGTCATTTATTTTGCCTTTTTCCCTCTCTTTTTTTTATTTTTTTTTTATTTTTTGATTTTAATAGTTTACATTTCCCTTAAATATATATAGTCTTGATTTTTTTTAAAGAAAATCAAATTTCAGTTTTTAAATCTGTCATCGTCAACGAGTTCAGCGAAGACCGTCGTGCAAGGTCACTAGGTAGACAATATAAATGAATACAACGATTTGGTGAATTATTTGAGATTCAGATTTGATATCTGTATTGATTCGTTTCTAATGTTTTAGTAAACACAAAACGACCTTTTAGTTAGATTAGGCATTTGGGTTGGAGGTAAATGTGTTCAGTCCAGTTACAGTTTTCTTTATAAATGTTATTACGTGATATTTTTCTTTTACGTTTTGAAAAGAAAAAAATTAGAGAATACTCGATTTTATAATTCTTTTTAGATTTGGACTAGTTTACGTTTATGGATCGAAATATCATCCATCACTTTTCATGTTTCGATAAGTAGTGTTATTAAGGATGGGTTAGTTTACTAAAATAAACAACTCATTTAATCAAAAAGGCTGAAAAATCAACGTTAAAGAGAAAACTTTGTTTCCTTTTGTTAAGTAGCATTTTGGATTCTTGTTTCCTTAACAACTACGCATAAAGATGCGAGCATAACTTTAGCAAGGAACAGATAAAAAGGATGTAGCTTAAGAAGAAGAAAAATCTTGTTTGAATGGAAATTGACATACAATATCTTTGGTTCTTTTTTCGCCATACACGATTCTTTAGTTTTAGATCAACGTTTCAATTCAGAAGAAACAGACTATCTCACATTTGGACCGACCTAATGGCTACTAAGAATAATGGCGCTGGAATTTTGTTTGCTCGTGGATTGATTTTTATCATTTTTTTTTCATCTCAAAATAAGTATAATTTATATTTTCAATGTAAATTTTGCAGCAGAAACCTAATTTAATTTCAAATAAAATGAAAAATAAAAAAAATAGACAAAGAAGATACTAAGGCCCAACTTATTTAATTTGGGGAATATTAAGAAAAATTCAACATTTTTTGGTGTGTGGAAAGTGACAATTGTGGTGAGACAAATGGAGTAGTAAATGTATGAATTACATGTACTATAATTCTATATAAACGTTTTTATAACTTCCAAGTATTTCAATGTTTATAAAACCAATTGTATTTCAATGTTTCTAAACATGTATTTTAAAGAAAAACATACCTTAAAGCACATGATAAGAAGGTCTTTAATTAATGGTATATAGCGGGTTCTCCTTACTACATGTGAAACTTTGGTGATTTAAAAGCTGACTGTATATAAGATTTTTGGAGACGTGATGTTCTTTCTCCATATATATTAGGTTGGTATTGTGGACAAAAAGTTGGTTTGATCTCGCTTATGTGAACTAGAGGATGACGAAACATTTTCTAGTATGGGTCATAAGACTCATAACGTACATGTTAGACGATCAAAGATTTGTCAATAATTTCTGGATGTAGAATTTGTTTTCTATGTTGTTGAAGAGTCTTGGAATGATCGTTTTGTTTATAATTTTTTTAGCGTAGAAATAATTCCGGAAAATATATCATATAAATCTGCATTGAAAACACAAACATCTAAAACACAATAAAAAAATATAAACAAAACTAATGGAATATTTGTTTAATATTATGCTCAAAGTTTTCCAAAAAATGAAGGGATTTGACTGTTCCCTATTGATTGACGTATTCAATGCTGACAGATAATTGAAACTGTTTACAGTATATTAATTTCTTGTTAATCAGAAGATTTAACACCACATTTTTCTTCCTTCCAAAATCATTATTTATCAAGTTTGTTTCTTATTAATGTATATAATTGTCAAATAAATTTACATATATAAGTATATAACTGACTTTTGTCCTTTTCGATACACGTTTCTTCTTGTCGACCAGTCTCTTTTGATTAGACAATCGTTTTTCTTATGAGGATCTATCAAAATATAAGGAAATTTAATTAATTTAATGAAGATGTGGAAAGAACTTTGGTCAATGAAGTAGTAGAAGATGCCATGTTTCCAGTTGACACTGAAATCTACAGCTGGAAGGTCCTTTTCCTTAGGGTTTTATTTATTCGATCTGAGAAAAAATCATTGTACTTACTACTATTATATAAGAAAATGAAAAACCACATTTCATAGAACATAGGAATTGTTTTTAATACATTGCATACAAGTTTTTTTTAATTGTCTCGCTAACTATCTATATTTCAACTTTCAAGTCGTGATCTTTGCAATTTTCCATGTGAGCAGAATTCATTCAGCAAGTCAATGATAAGTTATAATATACTTCAAATAATCAATGCAATTTGTTTTGTCCACGAAGTGATTGAAAAAGAAGAGGAAATTATAAATTATTTCCAAAAATTTATGAATTAATCAATGTTTAAAAAAAAATTGAAACCTACTAATTTTAATGTGTTATATATATACACATATAAGCAACTTTTCCCCCTAAAGTATAACCAAGTATTATTCCGTTGAAAGAATCACATATACAACGAAGATGTATACAGTAAAACCTCTATAAAGTAATAACGTTGAGACCATGATATTTTATTACTTTAGCAAATTATTAATTTATCGAGAGATGATTAGACCAAAAACTTAATCCAGGATTTGAAAATTTTATTCATTTATCGAGGTATTACTTTATTGAGTATTATTTTATAGAGGTTTTATAGTTTGCTTGGATGTGAAAAGATTATATGTTGAATATTTAATACTTTACAAGTAAATAATACTTTAAATATAAAGAGAAAAAAAGAAAAACTGGAAATCGGGAAGAAATCAAGTAAACGAAAACGGCGTTAGGTAAAGCCCAAGACAAGCACATACAGTCTACATAGATCGATGTAGAAGAAAAAGTCTACAAATTAGTCCCACACTACGCCCACACGTTTGGGAGGGAAAATGGGAATTAAAGAGGCCAAAAATGGTCCACTTTTTTCCTCATTTTAATTATCTTATTGAAAACTTATTCTAGCAATATATAACGTACAATATACGTTACAAATATATATATATATATATATGTGCGTAACATTAATCAAACAAGAGGATTTTATCGTGCAATATGGCCCGCGGCTATTTTCTCGTAGTTGTTAACTAGTGAGGGATCGTGAAATTCTAGCTAGATTTATTAATTATGTTTGACCTATAGCTACTTATATTTACTCTCTTCACATGCAAATATGTACGTATTTTATCAACGGAAATACATTTTAGATCGTAATCATAAGTAATCCATTAATAAAATATAGCTTCGGATCATGTACCTATAAGTTCATGAATTTTTGCATCGTTTAACTAAAGAAGTAGTGTAGCAAATTATGAACCATTCAGTTTGTAAATAGTATTAATTAACACTGATTACTTATTTAGGAACAGAAACCCATCGTAATTAAGAGAGAAAAAAACAATTTGTGGGAGAATATGGATTGGAATTTCTCCACGTATATGTATATTTTTATTAGAGAAAATAATGCAAATGCAATGAAGGTCCAAGATTAAATGGGACCAGCATGTAGGGGGATTGTCCATCAAATTGCCAATCTTTTTCGTAGCAACTTTGAAAAGGGAGCGACCTCTTTAGATTTATATCCACAATTCTTTCACAGTTTCACACTCACTCGCGAATCAATTATTTTGGTAATCTATCCTTTATTTTATTCATTCGTTGTGTATGCACAATTGCACATCACGACGCATAATGTTCGTTTTCAAACACGTAAATACATATGTAGCTAAAAGACTTTTAACAAATACTTTATACTTTTAATATTAAGTGACCGTTTTTGGTATTCTACTCACAAATGAAAGAAACTAACTGTTATGCCCCTATAAAAACAAATTCCTCTCGAAAAACTGTTTTGTTTCATCAATTTTGACTAGAGTTGAACTAGTTATTTCTGACCACAAATTACATTGAATTTTTGAGCAATGATACTATTAATTTAGAAACGATAATTCTTGGGTTTTGTGCAAAAAAACCATTGAA